TTTTAGGATGTTTTATTGTATTTGTTTTAAGCATTAAAATATTTATGCAAAGTTTCAATCGATTTGGATAAACCCTCGAAGAAAAAAGTGACAAAATTGATTTTGACTAGGGTCGCTCCTAGTCCAAAATTGAAAATGTATTTCCTTCTTGGTTCTTTGCTCAAAAAAATTTTAGAATGTTTTATTTGTATTTGTTTAAAGCACTAAAATATTTATGCAAAGTTTCAATCCATTTGGATAAACCTTCGAAGAAAAAAGTGACAAAATTGATTTTGACTAGGGTCGCTCCTAGTCCAAAATTGAAAATGTATTTCCTTCTTGGTTCTTTGCTCAAAAAAAATTTGGAATGTTTTATTTGTATTTGTTTTAAGCACTAAAATATTTATGCAAAGTTTCAATCCATTTGGATAAACCTTCGAAGAAAAAAGTGACAAAATTGATTTTGACTAGGGTCGCTCCTAGTCCAAAATTGAAAATGTATTTCCTTCTTGGTTCTTTGCTCGAAAAAAAATTTGGAATGTTTTATTTGTATTTGTTTTAAGCACTAAAATATTTATGCAAAGTTTCAATCCATTTGGATAAACCCTCGAAGAAAAAAGTGACAAAATTGATTTTGACTAGGGTCACCCCTAGTCCAAAATTGAAGATGTATTTTCTTCTTGGTTCTTTGCAAAAAAAATTTTTAGGATGTTTTATTTGTATTTGTTTTAAGCACTAGAATAATTATGCAAAGTTTCAATCCATTTGGATAAACCTTCGGAAAAAAAAATGAAAAACTAGATTTTGACTTGACCTGTCCCAAGTTCATAATTGAAAATGTACTTCCTACTTGGTTCTTTGCTCAAAAAATTTTAGGATGTTTTATTGTATTTGTTTTAAGCATTAAAATATTTATGCAAAGTTTCAATCGATTTGGATAAACCCTCGAAGAAAAAAGTGACAAAATTGATTTTGACTAGGGTCGCTCCTAGTGCAAAATTGAAAATGTATTTCCTTCTTGGTTCTTTGCTCAAAAAAATTTTAGAATGTTTTATTTGTATTTGTTTAAAGCACTAAAATATTTATGCAAAGTTTCAATCCATTTGGATAAACCTTCGAAGAAAAAAGTGACAAAATTGATTTTGACTAGGGTCGCTCCTAGTCCAAAATTGAAAATGTATTTCCTTCTTGGTTCTTTGCTCAAAAAAAAATTTGGAATGTTTTATTTGTATTTGTTTTAAGCACTAAAATATTTATGCAAAGTTTCAATCCATTTGGATAAACCCTCGAAGAAAAAAGTGACAAAATTGATTTTGACTAGGGTCGCTCCTAGTCCAAAATTGAAAATGTATTTCCTTCTTGGTTCTTTGCTCAAAAAAAATTTAGAATGTTTTATTTGTATTTGTTTTAAGCACTAAAATATTTAGGCAAAGTTTCAATCTATTTGTATAAACCCTCGAAGAAAAAAGTGACAAAATTGATTTTGACTAGGGTCGCCCCTAGTCCAAAATTGATAATGTATTTTCTTCTTGGTTCTTTGCTCAAAAAAATGTTAGGATTTTTTATTTGTATTTGTTTTAAGCACTAAAATATTTATGCAAAGTTTCAATCCATTTGGAAAAACCATCGAAGAAAAAAGTGACAAAATTGATTTTGACTAGGGTCGCCCCTAGTCCAAAATTGAAAATGTATTTTCTTCTTGGTTCTTTGCAAAAAAAATTTTTAGGATGTTTTATTTGTATTTGCTTTAAGCACTAGAATATTTATGCAAAGTTTCAATCCATTTGGAAAAACCCTCGAAGAAAAAAGTGACAAAATTGATTTTGACTAGGGTCGCCCCTAGTCCAAAATTGATAATGTATTTTCTTCTTGGTTCTTTGCTCAAAAAAATGTTAGGATTTTTTATTTGTATTTGTTTTAAGCACTAAAATATTTATGCAAAGTTTCAATCCATTTGGAAAAACCCTCGAAGAAAAAAGTGACAAAATTGATTTTGACTAGGGTCGCCCCTAGTCCAAAATTGAAAATGTATTTTCTTCTTGGTTCTTTGCAAAAAAAATTTTTAGGATGTTTTATTTGTATTTGTTTTAAGCACTAGAATAATTATGCAAAGTTTCAATCCATTTGGATAAACCTTCGGAAAAAAAAATGAAAAACTAGATTTTGACTTGACCTGTCCCAAGTTCATAATTGAAAATGTACTTCCTACTTGGTTCTTTACTCAAAAAATTTTAGGATGTTTTATTTGTATTTGTTTTAAGCACTAAAATATTTATGCAAAGTTTCAATCCATTTGGATAAACTCTCGAAGAAAAAAGTGACAAAATTGATTTTGACTAGGGTCGCTCCTAGTCCAAAATTGAAAATGTATTCCTACTTGGTTCTTTGCTCAAAAAAATGTTAGCATGTTTTATTTGTATTTGTTTTAGGCACTAGAATATTTATGCAAAGTTCCAATCCATTTGTATAAACCCTCGAAGAAAAAAGTGACAAAATTGATTTTGACTAGGGTCGCTCCTAGTCCAAAATTGAAAATGTATTTCTTTCTTGTTTCTTTGCTCAAAAAAATTTTAGGATGTTTTATTTGTATTTGTTTTAAGCACTGGAATATTAATGCAAAGTTTCAATCCATTTGGAAAAACCCTCGAAGAAAAAAGTGACAAAATTGATTTTGACTAGGGTCGCCCCTAGTCCAAAATTTAAAATGTATTTCCTTCTTGGTTCTTTGCTCAAAAAAATTTTAGGATGTTTTATTTGTATTTGTTTTAAGCAAGTGAATATTTATGCAAAGTTTCAATCCATTTGGAAAAACCCTCGAAGAAAAAAGTGACAAAATTGATTTTGACTAGGGTCGCCCCTAGTCCAAAATTGAAAATGTATTTCTTTCTTGGTTCTTTGCTCAAAAAAATTTTTTTCATCCAAAGTTTAATTTAAAATAAAAAAAATCACAGTGAGCTTTTAATTTGAAAAATTCGTAAGAAAGGAAAGTTTTTTGCTTTTTCTGAAGCAACGGCTGTTCCTACCTTGCCCAAAAACAATACAGCTCTTCTATAGAGCAGCACGGATCAAATGTAAAAAACTAGAAGTCTCTACGATGTCTCGTTATTGTGATTTCTTGCTGATTAACTTGCTTGTTTGCTTGCTTACAAAAAGCATATTTTGCGATTTTCTCAGCAATGCCGCAACCAATTTGAAATCTGTTTTTTGCAAAAGATGTAAAATTCAAGGCACAAACTTTTCATTTCTGAACATTTTAAGCTATCTTGCTCCATATCCTCACAAAATTCAAAAAACTGAATTTTCAATCTGAACAAAACCAATAGATTCACACGTGAAAACGGTGTGAATATAAAAAATTCTTTTGTTTGAGCTTTCACAAAATCTTTCATCCCCCATACTTCCTAAATCTCGGTTCTTAAATATCTCCGAAACTTATTAATGACAAATTTCAGTAGTAGAAGTAGACTGTTAAAGAAAATTGGATATGAAATTTTTTATATTCACACCGTTTTCACGTGTGAATATATTGGTTTTGTTCAGATTGAAAAATCAGTTTTTAGCATTTTGCGATGAAATGTAGCAAGATAGCTCAACATATTCAGAGATGAAAAGTTTGTGCCTGAAATTTCACATCTTTTGCAAAAAAACAGATTTCAAATTGGTTGTGGCATTGCTGAGAAAATCGCAAAATACGCTTTCTGTAAGCAAACAAGCAAGCAAAATAATCAGCAAGAAATCTCAATAACGAAACATCGTAGAGACTTCTAGTTTTTTACATTTGATCCGTGCTGCTCTATAGAAGAGCTGTATTGTTTTTGGGCAAGGTAGGAACAGCCGTTGCTTCAGAAAAAGCAAAAAACTTTAATTTCTCACGAATTTTTCATAAAAAAAAGTTTACTGTGATTTTTATAAAATTCAACTTTTGACGTTAAGCTTTAGACCTTCAAACTTATGCTGAGCGAAGCTCAGCTGACTCGCTAGCTTTCTACCTTTAAACTTATGCTGAGCGAAGCTCAGTTAACTTATAAAGCTTCATACCTTAATACTTATGCTGGGCAAATCTTGGTCTATCCATAAGACTTTTGATGGTACGGTGAGAATATAATCCGCATTGGGTTTCTACCCGATATACTAGTTCTTTTCCGTTATTAAGCCACTACCAATTTTCCATGTAAAATAATTTAAAAGTGATTTTGGTGTTAGTCAATTCCTAAGAACTTTTAAAAGCTTTAAGCTACCAATTATTTTTTGATTTAGGGCTTTAAAGATTTAGAGCAAGTAAAGTCTATAGTTTATAGCAGTTTATAGTGGTGTTTTGAATGTGGTATTAGTTCCAGTCTTTACTAAAGTGCAAAACTTGGCATTTCTTGACAATACCGACAATACCGAGATTGATATTGAAACATCTGACGATGAAAGCTACATAGACATAAAGAAAAATCAAAGATCTGGAGCTATTTTTACACGCTTTTTATTTTTCAAAATCTAGAACGAAAAATTTTCCTTGGTGACTCACCCCAACACATCAACCCCGCACCAATACATACACAAAATCAATATTTTCAAAATAATTATTTAAATATAGTGAATATAGTATAAAATACTTCTTGATCATCCAAATAACAGACAATCAGCAAAAGATCTAATAACTAAGGTAATTTCGGACGAAACAACACTTAAAATAGCTCCAATTTTGTTTTCTATTGTTTAACCTATTAATATTTGCAGATTGACATCCAGTATTTGTTCGATTTTAAAGGTAAGACATTAGACGGAGTATTCAAAGAATTTTGTGAAATTTTTATATAATTTTTTTCATCGTAAATGCAGCTTATGAATTAAGATAGATTTAATAGGGCTCAGTAAGTATCGTCAATCGACAGTAAATTGTTTCAGATTCAAATGTGATTCTAATAAGAATAAAAACGGTCGGAAGAAACTTAAAAGTTTCAAAATATCAATAACGCCCTAACATAATATTCGTGTATATAAGCAAAGTCTCTTTAATGTGACATCTAGTACACGAATTGAGCTGCCGCGTCTATTTGAAGTTAATAATATTTTTTAATTTAAATTCAGCACATTAGTAAATATTAAGTTTACGGATTAAAATAAGAACAATTAACAGATAGTTTTGATAAAGAGTGAAGTGAATTAAAGATAAAATGGCAAGCAGAAGTGTAAGAAAAACGACACCCATTTCGAATGTACGTCCAAGTTCGCCGCTTTCTCCTACAAGACACTCCAGATTGGTTGAAAAGAATGAATTACAAAATCTAAATGATCGTCTTGCAGCTTATATTGATCGTGTCAGGAATCTTGAGAATGAAAATGCCAGATTAACAACCGAAATTACGTGTTATCGCGATACAACAACGCGGGAGGTTACTAATATTAAAAGTATGTATGAACATGAATTGTCCGATGCACGAAAGTTATTGGATGAGACATCAAAGGAAAAAGCCAAGCTTGAAATCGATATCAAACGTATCTTTGAGGAGAATGAGGATCTCAAAAAGAGGCAAGTAAAACTGACTTTTTGGGTTAGAAAAAAATTGATTTAATTTAAGAATATGATGTCACCCGTCAAACATTAACATAACCGACGTTCTTGCTCGCTCAGCTAGCTACATTTGTATGCATGACATTGTAAAAAGTGAGAAAATGTTTTCATAGAGGAACACGCACACAAATGACTCTCATAGCTGCCTAGTTTGTTTTAAAAAACCACTCATACATTGGTAGAATACGCGCATATTCACCCTCAATTCTTATGTTTATATTCATGTATAGAGCTATAGATGATCATAAAACATAATGCTCGAGCATTTCAATGCGTGTAGTTTTATTTTTGTGACTAATTTCTTGATTTTATGAACCAAACGCAGTCTATTTTTAAAGTTCAATGACATCATCAACCAAAATACAGATACCACTCGCTCATACCCGTTCATACATATATCAAAGTCATAAAAAAAAGAAGACACAAGAAAGTTTACCAAAACTATGACGATGTTTTCTTCAAAATAAAAGCCATTACACAAATATGACATTTTGAAGAAGATGCTGATGACGCCATCCTGTATATATTATTTTGGTTGTATTGCTTGCTTCATTGCGAATATCTTGTGTTATTTAGCCTTAATATCTTTCTAACTTTTCCCCTTCATACCTAATAATCGTAAGATTAACACTTGTATACTGATTTACACTTGTATACTGATTGTAGTAAACCAACTTAGTAAATTAGTTAATACAATTTTATTTGCTCTTCTAGATTGGACAAAAGAAATAAGGAATGTGCTACTGCCGAAAACAATTATCGTCTTTATGAACAAAAGTTCCATGATTTAACTGCTAAGTATAATGCTGCATGTTCAGAGCGCAAAAAGGCTCAAGATGAGTTGAAGGATTTAGAGAAGGAAGTTGACAAATTGAGGAAGATGCTTGAAGCTCTTCGCAAGAACTTGGAGGAAGAAACTTTGGCACGCGTTGATCTTGAAAATAACATTCAGAGCTTGAAAGAGGAATTAACTTTCAAGGATCAAGTTTTTCAACAAGAATTGTCAGAGTCACGTTCACGTCGTCAAGTTGAGATCAGCGAGATCGATGGGCGCCTTAACGAGCAATATGAAGCCAAATTACAGCAATCTTTACAAGAATTACGTGATCAATACGAAGCACAAATGCGTAATAATCGCGATGAAATTGAAGGATTATATGAGAATAAAATTAAGGGTCTTCAAGGGCAAATTGCCAGAGCTAATAATGCTTCCTCAGCTGTCCACGAAGAGATGCTTCTCGTTCGTTCGCGTGCTGATAGTTTAAATGGACGAATTGCTGACTTGGAAGGATCAAATGCTAACTTATCAGCACGTATTCGTGATCTTGAGAGTGTTCTCGATGCTGAACGTGCCAGGTTCCATCGCGACTTACAAGTTTTGGAAACAGAATTGGCTCGCATGCGCGAAGAAATGGCACAACAATTGCTAGAATATCAAGATCTGATGGATATTAAAGTTTCATTGGACCTCGAAATTGCAGCTTATCGTAAACTTTTGGAAGGCGAAGAAACTCGTTTGAACATTACACCAACTCAATCTCAGACAGCTTCCTTTTCACAATCTTTGCGTGCAGGGCGTTCAACACCGATTCAGTTTCGGACCCCCTCAAGAGCAGGTAAACGTAAGAGAGCGGTATTCGAAGACGAGGACGAGCAAAATTTTAGCGTCACATCATCAGCAAAAGGGGAAGTAGAAATAACTGAAGTTGATGCTGAAGGGAAATTTGTCAAATTGTTAAATCGTGGAAATAAGGTACGAAAAAAATAACTTTCGTTCCATTGTAAGTCATTTATTAACCATATTGAATTATAAATAGGAAATTCTTATTGGTGGATGGCAATTGGTACGCAAGAGTGGAGAAAACGAAACTTTGTTCAAATTTCATAGAACCGTGAAAATTGAAGGAGGACAAACAGTCACCGTTTGGTCTTCCGATAGTGGTGCTACACATGAGCCGCCAGCAAATATTGTCATGAAGGGACAACGGTTCTTTGTGAGCGATAATATGTCAACGCGTTTGGTCAATGGAGACGGAGAGGTAAGTTAATTGTGCATTTATGCTTAATTACATTGAATTAACATCATTTTCTTTATAGGAGGTTGCAACCCACGAAAGAAAACAAGTTCAAAAAACCATTCATCGTGAATTCGGATATAGAGGCATCGAAGATTTCCATCACCAACGAGTAAGCTTTAAAATATTTGACATTAAGAGTGGAATAATCAACAAAAAAACAATATGTTTGTTATTACAGGGCGATCCAGCATCTGGAGAAGAGAAGTGTCGTATTATGTAATATGTTTTACTCTGTTCAATTACCTTAAAACTATAAGAGAGAGAATCTTAAGTGTCATTAAATTACTATTGATTAACACATTTTTGCATAAAACTTTAATTTCAAGTTAATTCTAATATTATATTATCACATGAGAAGATTACCTATTATCGAGACGTCTAACTTTCAAAAAAATAATTTGTTACTAAAACAATCAAAAAAAAAGAATAAAAAATATTAAGCAAATGATTAATCACAAATTTATTTCATGTTTTCAGTATTACTAACATATGTTGCGTTTAGAGTTGTCGATATTTTTGGTTTTTTACCAGTTTTTACTATTTTTAAAAATACCCAAATAGTTGAAAAAAAACAAGTGTCTAAAGTATAGGGACCATAAATTCATGTCTTTATTGATAAAATGGTAATTATCTTGCTTTTTTTAAGAAAAAAATTGGTTTTATTGCACAATTTTATGAATAAAATTTTAAAGAATTTACCCTATTCATTGGTAGTAAAACTAGATTAGTAGAATTATTTCTTTATACTCAGCTATACATATTACCTTCAATCTTTGTTTTACGTTATGAAATTATAAGTATTTCTTATTCAAATTCAAATATTTTAACAAAGACTCCACGTTGATCGAAGAAGTGAAAAGTTTTTCCAAAAATTCAGCTTATATGCTTATGTTGTAGACATTGGTCCCTGGTTTATGGGAAAAATAATTTTTTCCCCTGGAAGTGCCTGGTCCTCGAGAAAAGAAGGTTTGAATTTTTGTACTTCATGTAATTTTTAAAATGCTATTGTGCTTCACCTACTTATCCGTTTGTCTTCAAATATTTATTTGATAGGTACAAGTTAGAGCTTTCTTATGAATATCCACATGATATACTTTTGATGTATATTGGTTGCTAAAAGTTGAAAAAAGTTCGCAAAAACTAGGTTTTTTGTCATTTTTTGGACCTCATGACTATATAAGGCTTTTTAAAAAATTTTTTTGATTGTAGTTTATTGTAGATCTAATTTATATCTACAATCATCACATACATAATCTACATATTTTATGTAGTTTGAGTAGTGAAAATTAACATTGAAGAATTTGCAAATTTTTTGCTTTATTCTCAATTATGATCCACTGTCCACGTCCGGCTCCCAAATTTTATTTCATTAATTTGTAGACTTTAGTATGCTCTATCAATTAATGCAATAAAAAAAAGAATCACTTGCCAGAAAGATTAAAAATATGAGCCTGAAGTTCCCTAGTGAGGTATCTCAAAATTCAAAATGAATTTTCACATACCAGTCTTAATGAAAGGAACTGAAATTTTCAGGTTTTATTCAAAAAGTAATGTACTTAACATCCACAACAAAAAGTTTTTAATTAAAAACACAATTTTGTTGAAAATTTAGGCAAAAAGTGATATTTGATGTTATGAAAGTATAAATGCTCAATAGAGCTACTATAACTAGTTTAAATCAAAACATATCTACAATTTTCATAAAGTTCATTTAAAAAGCTTTTCAATGGTATATAATAAGTCATATAAAGATGTAATTATATTCACACCGTTTTCACGTGTGAATCTATTGGTTTTGTTCAGATTGAAAAATCAGTTTTTTGAACTTTGTGAGGATATGGAGCAAGATAGCTTAAAATGTTCAGAGATGAAAAGTTTGTGCCTTGAATTTCACATCTTTTGCAAAAAACGATTTCAAATTGGTTGCGGTATTGCTGAGAAAATTGCAAAATATGCTTTCTGTAAGCAAGCAAACAAGCAAGTTAATCAGCAAGAAATCTCAATAACGAGACATTGTAGAGACTTCTAGATTTTACATTTGATCCGTGCTGTTCTATAGAAGTGCTGTATTGTTTTTGGCAAGGTAGGAACAGCCGTTGCTTCAGAAAAAGCAAAAAACTTTCCTTTCTTACGAATTTTTCAAATTAAAAGTTCACTGTGATTTTTTTTTATTTTAAATTAAACTTTGGATGATTTTTGAGCAAAGAACCAAGTATAAATAGTATAAATATTAGTATACTCACACAAAGTTTCACTGTAATTGGATAAACCTTCAACGAAAAAAAGTGAAAAACTAGATTTTGACTGGACCTGTCCCAAGTTCATAATTGAAAATGTATTTCCTACTTGGTTCTTTGCTCAAAAAAATTTTAGGATGTTTTATTTGTATTTGTTTTAAGCACTAGAATATTTATGCAAAGTTTCAATCCATTTGGATAAACCCTCGAAGAAAAAAGTGACAAAATTGATTTTGACTAGGGTCGCCCCTAGTCCAAAATTGAAAATGTATTTCCTTCTTGGTTCTTTGCTCAAAAAATTTTAGGATGTTTTATTTGTATTTTGTTTAAGCACTAGAATATTTATGCAAAGTTTCAATCCATTTGGATAAACCCTCGAAGAAAAAAGTGACAAAATTGATTTTGACTAGGGTCGTCCCTAGTCCAAAATTGAAAATGTATTTCCTACTTGGTTCTTTGCTCAAAAAAATTTTAGGATGTTTTATTTGTATTTGTTTTAAGCACTAAAATATTTATGCAAAGTTTCAATCCATTTGCATAAACCCTCGAAGAAAAAAGTGACAAAATTGATTTTGACTAGGGTCGTCCCTAGTCCAAAATTGAAAATGTATTTCCTACTTGGTTCTTTGCTCAAAAAAATTTTAGGATGTTTTATTTGTATTTGTTTTAGGCACTAAAATATTTATGCAAAGTTTCAATCCATTTGCATAAACCCTCGAAGAAAAAAGTGACAAAATTGATTTTGACTAGGGTCGCCCCTAGTCCAAAATTGAAAATGTATTTCCTACTTGGTTCTTTGCTCAAAAAAATTTTAGGATGTTTTAATTTGTATTTGTTTTAAGCACTAGAATATTTATGCAAAGTTTCAATCCATTTGGATAAACCCTCGAAGAAAAAAGTGACAAAATTGATTTTGACTAGGGTCGCCCCTAGTCCAAAATTGAAAATGTATTTCCTACTTGGTTCTTTGCTCAAAAAAATTTTAAGATGTTTTATTTGTATTTGTTTTAGGCACTAAAATATTTATGCAAAGTTTCAATCCATTTGCATAAACCCTCGAAGAAAAAAGTGACAAAATTGATTTTGACTAGGGTCGCCCCTAGTCCAAAATTGAAATTGTATTTCCTACTTGGTTCTTTGGTCAAAAAAAATTTTAGGATGTTTTATTTGTATTTGTTTTAGGCACTAAAATATTTATGCAAAGTTTCAATCCATTTGCATAAACCCTCGAAGAAAAAAGTGACAAAATTGATTTTGACTAGGGTCGCCCCTAGTCCAAAATTGAAATTGTATTTCCTACTTGGTTCTTTGCTCAAAAAAATTTTAGGATGTTTTATTTGTATTTGTTTTAGGCGCTAAAATATTTATGCAAAGTTTCAATCCATTTGCATAAACCCTCGAAGAAAAAAGTGACAAAATTGATTTTGACTAGGGTCGCCCCTAGTTCAAAATTGAAATTGTATTTCCTACTTGGTTCTTTGCTCAAAAAAATTTTAGGATGTTTTATTTGTTTTAAGCACTAGATTATTTATGCATAGTTTCAATCCATTTGTATAAACCCTCGAAGAAAAAAGTGACAAAATTGATTTTGACTAGGGTCGTCCCTAGTCCAAAATTGAAAATGTATTTCCTCCTTGGTTCTTTGCTCAAAAAAATTTTAGGATGTTTTATTTGTATTTGTTTTAGGCGCTAAAATATTTATGCAAAGTTTCAATCCATTTGCATAAACCCTCGAAGAAAAAAGTGACAAAATTGATTTTGACTAGGGTCGCCCCTAGTCCAAAATTGAAATTGTATTTCCTACTTGGTTCTTTGCTCAAAAAAATTTTAGGATGTTTTATTTGTTTTAAGCACTAGAATATTTATGCATAGTTTCAATCCATTTGTATAAACCCTCGAAGAAAAAAGTGACAAAATTGATTTTGACTAGGGTCGCCCCTAGTCTAAAATTGAAAATGTATTTCCTACTTGGTTCTTTGCTCAAAAAAATTTTAGGATGTTTTATTTGTATTTGTTTTAGGCACTAAAATATTTATGCAAAGTTTCAATCCATTTGCATAAACCCTCGAAGAAAAAAGTGACAAAATTGATTTTGACTAGGGTCGCCCCTAGTCCAAAATTGAAATTGTATTTCCTACTTGGTTCTTTGGTCAAAAAAAATTTTAGGATGTTTTATTTGTATTTTGTTTAAGCACTAGAATATTTATGCAAAGTTTCAATCCATTTGGATAAACCCTCGAAGAAAAAAGTGACAAAATTGATTTTGACTAGGGTCGCCCCTAGTCCAAAATTGAAAATGTATTTTCTACTTGGTTCTTTTATCAAAAAAATTTGGAATGTTTTATTTGTATTTGTTTTAAGCACTAAAATATTTATGCATAGTTTCAATCCATTTGCATAAACCCTCGAAGAAAAAAGTGACAAAATTGATTTTGACTAGGGTCGTCCCTAGTCCAAAATTGAAAATGTATTTCCTACTTGGTTCTTTGCTCAAAAAAATTTTAGGATGTTTTATTTGTATTTGTTTTAGGCACTAAAATATTTATGCAAAGTTTCAATCCATTTGCATAAACCCTCGAAGAAAAAAGTGACAAAATTGATTTTGACTAGGGTCGTCAAAAAAAATTTTAGGATGTTTTATTTGTATTTGTTTTAGGCACTAAAATATTTATGCAAAGTTTCAATCCATTTGCATAAACCCTCGAAGAAAAAAGTGACAAAATTGATTTTGACTAGGGTCGTCCCTAGTCCAAAATTGAAATTGTATTTCCTACTTGGTTCTTTGCTCAAAAAAATTTTAGGATGTTTTATTTGTATTTGTTTTAGGCACTAAAATAATTATGCAAAGTTTCAATCCATTTGCATAAACCCTCGAAGAAAAAAGTGACAAAATTGATTTTGACTAGGGTCGTCCCTAGTCCAAAATTGAAAATGTATTTCCTACTTGGTTCTTTGCTCAAAAAAATTTTAGGATGTTTTATTTGTATTTGTTTTAGGCGCTAAAATATTTATGCAAAGTTTCAATCCATTTGCATAAACCCTCGAAGAAAAAAGTGACAAAATTGATTTTGACTAGGGTCGCCCCTAGTCCAAAATTGAAATTGTATTTCCTACTTGGTTCTTTGCTCAAAAAAATTTTAGGATGTTTTATTTGTTTTAAGCACTAGAATATTTATGCATAGTTTCAATCCATTTGTATAAACCCTCGAAGAAAAAAAGTGA